GCATTGGCAAGAGCAGCCTCCTCGGCCTGGCTGGCCCTTCAGGCAGTCAGGAGGCAGGCCGTGCATTGGCAAGAGCAGCCTCCTCGGCCTGGCTGGCCCTTCAGGCAGTCAGGAGGCAGGCCGTGGATTGGCAAGAGCAGCCTCCTCRGCCTGGCTGGCCCTTCAGGCAGTCAGGAGGCAGGCCGTGGATTGGCAAGAGCAGCCTCCTCGGCCAGGCTAGCCCTTCAGGCAGTCATGAGGCAGGCCGTGGATTGGCAAGAGCAGCCTCCTCCGCCTTGCTGACCCGTAGGAGGCAGGCTGTGGAAGTATATAGGTACCCCCCCAGGCACTTCACGATTCATTTAGGAGGCAGTAGTCTTCAGGATTCGGGAGCAGCACTCTGGAGGGAACGATGCGTTGTAGTAGTGGTAGCGTTAGCTTGTAGTCTTCAGCGCTGGGCACAGTAGGTAGCTGTAGTCTCCAGCGCTGGGCGCCATAGCTAGGATAGTGTTAGAGAGAGAGAGAGAGAGTTTGGGCGGAGGCCAGGAGTACTTACCTGCAGCGCCGTTGCTCCAGCTTCGTCTTCAAGGTACCTGCAGCACAGCGCCCACATCACAGGTTAGTATCTGGTTCGTAACAGTGAGAGAGAGTCTCTTCTTCTTCCTCTTCTCAGTCCACCATCTTCTTCTCTCCCTCTCGACATCCGACTTCACTGCATCTGCAGACTTCGAGAGAAGAGAGACAGAGCTTGGTGACATTGGATCCAGACTCGACTTTTGGGAACTTCAGACTAGGCAACGAGGGATTATTTGGGATTGGTGACCAAGACTTGGTGTTAACAACATTCCCATCACTCTCCCTCCTTTTGTCTGTTCCCTATGTCTTCGTCTGTGTATGTCTGAACCTGGCGCTTCTTCCTGTGTACAGCGCCAGGCTCCCTCACACTTGGTGATGGGGATGATGCATGTTTGGTCTGGGTTCAAACATTGATTGGGCTGGTTTCTGTATTCTAGCATTCTGCTTTGCTACTTGTTACTACGTGAGTGAGGTCAGTCTCTGTCAAGTCAGTCCTTGTATCAAAGTCTTCCCTGCGCTATTCAGCACCTTTATATGTATGAGAATGCACATTGTCTGGCGCTCGACCCCCCCTTCTTGAGAAGCTGAGCCACGTTGCAAGGAAGATGAGCAATAGCGAACTTCAACAATCAAACAGCATCATCCATATGAGTCCAGATAGTCGTGACCTCGAACCAACAGCAGAATTGCATCACGAGATTCACCAAATAAGAACACACCAAGAGTTCAAAATTGACAATGCTGAAATAGGCCCATCATCATCAACGAAGAACCAGAGTTGATATCCTATCTGGCGCTCGGCGCCCAGACTGCATGTGGCAGATCCTATCGAGCCTATACTACGATGCCGAAAGATGACGTCAACAGCTTTCCCGAAGTACGAGCAAACAGCGACCAATGTCGCACGCTTCCAGCACCAGGTATGTCTCTCGCTACACTCACAACCTCGTTCCCCAACACACATATGCCACTTGCACCCAAGGACCACCCTGCGCCTCACCCAGCTTACAGCAGCGCAGCTCGGCTATGGCTRYGTGCTCCTTCCCTGCTCGCCCGTGAGASCGTAGGCRCCAGCCAGYAAATAGCGCAGCAGCRCTTGCGCAGCATGCAGCCAGCACCAGAATGCCRAATGAGGAGGCAGGCCCTTTCCAATATCGAAGTGGCCTGCCTGCGTCCAGTCCCAGGAAGCTTCCAGTAGGCCCCGGTAGCCTGAGGCCCAGCACGAACGAAAACAGGCCTTGGGCCTGAGGTGGTTGCATGCGCCCAACTGCCTTTGGCCTGTGTTTGGCCCAGTACCCGTATCCAGCCCAGGGCCTGCTTTCCATACATTCACAAAGGTGGCCCAGGGCCTGGGTTTCGTCAACCAACTGGCGCTGCGCAACTGCCTGAATTTCCTTAGTTGCGCATGGGCCGAAATAAGGCCCCGAGGGGCCTCGTCGAGCCTGCCTTCACTTAGGGCGGCCGACAGGCTCCCCAGAAGGGGCCGATTGGGGCTCATAGAGACAGTGCCCTCGCATTCCCTCCTCCTTAGCTTCTACAGYCCTCTGAAAAGCKCAGTCCTTGACCWTCRGGCGCTTTCCTTTCTGCAGAGATTTCTTGTAGTGGGCTACCACTTGCGGAGCGGTCTGCATGAGTTCCTCCCTTGTGAACCAGCGGTCCTCCTTCAAGTCAGTGTCATGCCGGAACCGAATGCGGTACTGCAGTTTCGGTTTCGGAGGACGTCCCCTGCCTGTTGGTCTTGATACCGGCAGCTCTCTGTGATCCACGATGTCATCGATGTCCACCTCTCCGTCCATGGTTGGGGGCAGCATTGAACGACGAGATGGAAACTGATCAGTCTCTTTGAAAGGTGCCAGCTTGGAGGCGTGAAAGACAGAGTAAGTACGGCGATGACCAGGGATGCGGATTACGTAAGAAGGTCCATCCGGTTCAGTCCCCACAATATCTAAGACTTCCCATGGTCCAAAGTACTGTGGCATGAGCTTGCGGGAGATCCCGTGCCTCTGCCCCAGTTCTGAGGACTTAACCCAAACTCTGTCCCCAACCTGACATGAAGACTCACAACGGTGTTTGTTTGCAGATTCGATCATAGCCGCTTGTGCCTTCTGCATCTGTTCTACAGCCTGCTGCATTTTCTGTTCATATCGATAAGCAAATTCTAAAGTACCCGGTGCAGCAATTGACTGATTCTCAGGAAGGAGAAAATCTAAGGGTAGTCTAGGCTTGAAAGTCAACAGCAAATTGTTTGGGCTCACTCCGGTGGCGCTATGTACAACATTGTTGTACAGACTGACTATGAGAGCTAGTTTCTCATCCCAGTCCACCTGGTTGGGCTTGATGTAATGCCTTAACAGGTGTTGTACAACGCGGTTCAGTTGTTTGGCTTGGCCGTTGGCCTCTGGTGATTCCCAGAAGTCATTTGCAACTGCGTTCCCTGCTCTGCAGCAGCGGCCTTCCACAGTTCGCTGGTGAATCAGACATCCCTGTCACTGATAATGGATTTCGGTAGGCCAAAATCCCTGACCCAGTTCTCTTTAAACATTCTAATCACGTACTCCGTCCTTGCTGTTTCCGGCATTGCTACTAACCTAGCATACTTACTAAATCTATCCACGATGACAAAGATATGTCGCATCCCACTCTTGCTGGTGACTAGAGTATCCATGAAATCCATGGACAGACTCTCACCAGGTCGTTCCGGAATCGGAAGGGGCTTCAGGAGCCCAAGAGGAGCCTGAGTACGTGGCTTGTCTCTTTGACATACCTGACAAGTCTCCACGTACAGTTGGGCATCTCGCAGCATCGTGGGCCACCAGAACCACTGCAGCAGATTGGTTGCGGTCTTCTTATACCCAAAATGATCGGTGGCATCATGGCATTCGCCTAAAAACAAACTACGCAAATACTCTCTATTAGGGACACACAAACGTTTATTCCCAGCCTTCTCAAGGAACAACAAGCCGTTGACCAACTCAAACTCGGCAGAAGTCACTTTGTCCTTCTCTTCGAGTCTGCGCATGATCTAAGACATGAACGGATCCTCTCGGTAGGCTTCCACCAAGGACTGAGTGACATTGTCCGCAAGCCCAAACTCAGTGATTAGCGCACCTGAGAAATCAGGTCTACGCGACAAGGCATCAGCAACCTTGTTGTACTCGCCCTTGATGTACTAGGGCTCGGAGTCATACTGCTCTATGACTTCGATCCAACGCTTGAGAGCGTCAGAGAGTGCCGGCTGAGTCCTCATCCATCTCAGGGTCTGATGATCAGTCCTGAGGATGAAGAACCTCCCAAGGAGATAGTGTCTCGAATGGGTCAGAGCCTTGTAAACCGCATAGAGTTCCTTCTCAAAGGTGGACTTAGCCAACTTCTGAGAGGGCATCTTTTTGGACATGTACTCGACAGGCCTMAACTTTTTCCCCTCCTGTTGTGCAAGTACARCGCCTATGCCATATTGGCTAGCATCCGCATAGAGTACCAAGAAGCTTYGAGGTAGGGTCTGGCATGGTGGCCTGAGCTAGAGCAGCCATAGCTGCTTTATGTTGTCCTTCGGACATCTGAGCGGAGCTCAGTAGTCCACCATAGCCTCGGCCTATGAGGGTGAAGAGTGGGAGAGGCGGCCATSGCTATGGTGGACCTTGAGTGATACCTGCAGTAGAAAAGGGACTCGGACATGATTCTTGACCAGTCATTCAACATTGTATTATTATTTCTTGTATGAATAAGAGAAGGGGGAGATAAGGAGGAGGAGATTGTTGGGCGAAGAAGAAGAGCCTTGTCATTATCTTTGCTGGTGTACATCTTCTTCTTCTTCTTTCTTACTTCTTCTTCTTCTTCTACCCTCTCTCTCCTCTCAAGTTCATTCATTTCTTTCTGCAATGGGATGGCATTGTACTTCTCAGTGAATGTGTATCTCGAAATTGGTCAGGGTCAGAACATTTGTGCAAGTAGTGACGAGTGGAGCAAGGTCCTTAGGGCCACGGCTTGTAGGAAAACGAAACAAAAGAAAGTGTTAGATGCACAAATACGTGATGTACGTAATAACCGAGGATCTGCAATGCGATGAAAAGGACAGAATGGACAATGCGGTGTGAGTAGAATCTCGACAAACAATGTGCATTCTCATACATACAAAAGGTGATGAATAGCGCAGGGAAGACTTAGATACAAAGACTAACCTGACCGGGACTGACCTCACTCATGTAGTACAAAGTAGCGAAGCAGAATGCTAGAATGCTAATAACTAGCCCAATCAATGTTTGAACTCAGACCCAACATACATCCTATCCCTCACCAGGTGTGAAGGAGCCTGGCG